AAGAATGTTAATTGGATATGGTAAGGGGAGGAGAGGCGAGTAGTGGATCGTGGCTCATTGATAAACTGGTGAACGTCACCGTGGTCACGCACGCGATCATTGTCGTGCGAGCACGAGTCGTTCAATTCCACGCATACGGTTCGTTGTCCGAGTAATTGAAATACATTTTACCAACACTTTTTATTTTGTAGATTTTATTCGTGACTCGAACGAGGGCAAAAAATGGAGAAAGGAAAAGAAGGGGAAATGTTTGCAACGAGATCGGAGATTGTGGAAATGTACACGATCTTTGGAATTGCACGTGTTATAGTTTGAGTAATTGAAATATCTTCTAGATTTTATTCGTGACTCATTGGAGGAAAGGAAAAAAAGAAAAGAAAAAGAATAAAAAATAAATGTTTATAACGAGATCGAAGATTGTGGAAATATACACGATCTTTGGAATTGCGCGTGTTACGGTTCATTGTTTGAGTAATTCAAACACTTTTTATTTTCTGGATTTTATTCGTGACTCGTTGGAGAGGGGCAAAGAAAAAGAAGGGAAAATATTTGCAACGAGATCGGAGATTGTGGAAATATACGATCTTTGGAATTGCGCGTGTTACGGTTCGTTGTTTGAGTAATTGAAATTTTTTACTTTCTAGATTTTATTCGTGATTTTATTCCTTAAACGAGGGCAAAAAGAAAAATGTTTGCAACGAGATCGAAGATTGTGGAAATATACACGATCTTTGGAATTGCGCGTGTTTGTTTGTTGTTTGAGTAATTGAAACACTTTTTCAAATTTTATTTGTTGGAGAGGGGCAAAGAGAAAAAAGAAAACGAAAGGAAAATATTTGCAACGAGATCGAAGATTGTGGAAATATACACGATCTTTGGAATTGCGCATGTTACCGTTTATTGAATGAGTAATTGAAACACTTTTTACTTTCTAGATATTATTCTAGATATTATTCGAGCCATTAGAGGGAAGTAAAGAGAAAAAAGGAAAAAGAAAGGAAAATAAATGTTTGCAACAAGATTATATCAAAGATTATAGAAATACACACGATCTTGAGGAATTGCGCGTGTTACGATTTGTTGTTTGATTTTTGTTTAATTGAAACACTTTTTACTTTCGTGACTCGTTGGAGAGGAATAAAGAGAAAATATTTGCAACGAGATCGAAGATTGTGAAAATATACACGATCTTTGGAATTGCGCATGTTATAGTTCGTTGTTTGAGTAATTGAAATTTTTTACTTTCTAGATTTTATTCGTGACTCGTTGAACGAGAACAAAAAAAAAAGGAAAAGAAAGGAAAATATTTGCAACGAGATCGAAGATTATAGAAATACACACGGTCTTTGGAATTGCGCGTGTTACGATTCGTTGATTTATTGTTAATTGAAATACTTTTTCTAGATTTTATTCGTTGGAGAGGAGCAAAGAGAAAAAAGAAAACGAAAGGAAAATATTTGCAACGAGATGGAAGATTGTGAAAATATACACGATCTTTGGAATTGCGCGTGTTACGATTCGTTGTTTGATTTATTGTTAATTGAAACACTTTTTCTAGATTTTATTCGTGGCTCGTTGGAGGAAAACAAAGGAAAAAAAGAAAAGAAAAAGAAAGGAAAATAAATTTTTGCAATGAGATCGAAGATTAAAGAAATACACACAGTCTTTGGAATTGCACATATTACAGTTTGTTGTTTGAGTAATTGAAACTTTTTACTTTCTAGATTTTATTCGTGACTCGAACGAGAACAAAAAAAGAAGAAAGGAAAAGGAAGGAAAATATTGTGAAAATATACACGATCTTTGGAATTGCGCGTGTTTGTTTGTTGTTTGACTAATTGAAACACTTTTTCAAATTTTATTCGTTGGAGAGGGGCAAAGAGAAAAAAAGAAAAAGAAGGAAAAATATTTGCAACGAGATCGAAGATTGTGAAAATATACACGATCTTTGGAATTGCGCGTGTTACGATTTGTTATTTGAGTAATTCAAACACTTTCTAGATTTTATTCGTGACTCGAACGAGAACAAAAAAAGAAAAAAGGAAAAGGAAGGAAAATATTGTGAAAATATACACGATCTTTGGAATTGCGCGTGTTTGTTTGTTGTTTGAGTAATTGAAACACTTTTTCAAATTTTATTCGTTGGAGAAAAAAAAGAAAAAGAAGGAAAAATATTTACGACGAGATCAAAAATTGTGAAAATATACACGATCTTTGGAATTGCGCGTGTTACGGTTTGTTGTTTGAGTAATTCAAACACTTTCTAGATTTTATTCGTGACTCGTTGAACGAGGATAAAAAAAAAGAAGAAAGGAAAATATTTGCAGGAGGAAGAAAATATAGCAAAGATAAAAAAGAAAAAAAAGGGAAAATATTTGCAACGAGATCGAAAATTATAGAAACACACGATCTGAAAGAATTGCGCGTATTATAGTTCGTTGTTTGAGCAATTCAAACACTTTCTAAATTTTATTCGTGACTCGTTGAACGTGGCTAAAAAAAAGGAAAAAAAGGGAAAATATTTGCAACGAGATCGAAGATTATGAAAATACACGCGATCTTGAGGAATTGTCCATTAATGAACTAACCTTATACGCGGATATTTACGAATTAAAATTCTGATAAAACATTAATTACAATTTCTGTTAATAACAAATTGGTAGGATATCTGTTTAGAGATCAATCTTGATTTCTTAAACGATGCGTTTTTCCATTCTTTCGTTTCGCCCCCGCGTTGTACTCTCCCGATATTTATTATTTCGGTGTAATTGGTAATTAACGAGGGAAACATCGATACCTCAATCTCCATGTCAATTAAGGTGAATCCAGCTTGTCAAAATGCCAACGCGCCTTCTCACACCCCTCTTTCCAACCCTTTGCCGTGCGTTTAATATCGATGACAGAACGGCGGCTTGCCCGACAAAATCAACCACCAAAAATGTATTACACCTTCGATAACGTGTAGGGGATAATCGTTTCGAGATATTGCAACGAGAATTCGAAATTTTCCCTTCCATGATCCCGTCGTGATCCGCCATTAAAAGGTGAATCAATTTAATTTCAAAGTTTTCTTTTTTTAAGGTTTTATTTTTCGACAATTTAATGTGGAAAAATTTCCAAAATTTCTAAAAAGAAAGAAAGACGAGGTAAGCACAAAAAAACACGTTCGTTTCGTTCGTCTCAGAATCGTTAAAAAAGAAAAAAGATTAGAAGAGCAAAGTGCATAAATATCGAATTTTAAAATTTTATTTTTCGACGTGAAAAAATTTCCAAAATTTCTAAGAAGAAAGAAAGATGAGATAAACACAAAAAAACACGTTCGTTTCGTTCGTCTCAGAATCGTTAAAAAAGAAAAAAGATTAGAAGAGCAAAGTGCGTAAATATCGAATTTTAAAATTTTATTTTTCGACGTGGAAAAATTTCCAAAATTTCTAAGAAGAAAGAAAGACGAGATAAACACAAAAAACACGTTCGTTTCGTTCGTCTCATCAAAATCCTTAAAAAAGAAAAACAGATTAGAAGAGTGAAGTGCGTAAATATCGAATTTTAAGATTTTATTTTTCGACGTGGAAAAATTTCCAAAATTTCTAAGAAGAAAGAAAGACGAGATAAACACAAAAAAACACGTTCGTTTCATTCGTCTCTCATTTTATTTCTCGACAATGGAAACAATTTAACGTGGAAAAATTTCCAAAATTTTTAAGAAGAAAGAAAGACGAGGTAAGCACAAAAAAAACACGTTCGTCAAAATCGTTGAAAAAGAAATTAGAGCGAGTTGCGTAAATATCGAATTAAAATTGGGGATGTTTTATCGGCGCCATTGAGGTGAGCGCGCCTCGCGTTCGGGAGAGTTTAGTTCGAGGCGAGGCCATTTAGAAATTGGAAACTTGTCAAAGAGAGATTTCGCGAGAGCACGCGACTCGTCGCGCGTATCGATGCGTTTGAATCCATCGTCCCGTAAAAGGTTGATATATAAAAAAAAAAAAAAAAAAAAAAAAAAAAAAAGAACATGAAAAAAACACGAAGCGGGCGCACGCGCGCCAAATTTCGATGCAGAATAGAGAGGACTCGACTCGATCGAACGTTCTCTCCCGATCCTTTGACTTTTGTTATTATAACCACTGTTACCATCCGCCATATTCGAAATATCGTCCAATTTTTCGCTCGATTCTTCCCTCGATTCGCGCCAATAAATCGATCCAATAAATTTCGATCAAAATTCGATCGTCAAAATTCTAATCGTCGAAAGATCGAAACCGATAATCGCCAGCAATCCGTCTCATTCGTTTACACGAATAATATAAATAAAATAATATAAATAGTGGAGGGCTGCCAACCAAGCGACCAATTTTCCATCTCAAGCGTTTCTTTCCAATCTGGATCGGATTCGAAGCCGCCGATCTTGTGACAAATATTAAACTTTTCAAACAACCAAAAACGAAAATGAAATAGCTAATTGAGAGCGATTCGAAGGAGAATGAATGATGATCGAGATCGAATCGATCGAATGGAACGATCGTCTTTGACCCGATTCCCTCCCAAGTTTTCCTTTCCCCCCCCCCC